TTGTAGAGATGAGGTCTCACCAAGTAGCCCAGGCGGGTCTTGAACCCACGGGCTCAGGCAATCCACTCACCTCAGCTTCCCAAGGCGGGGGTTACAGACTGAGCCACCGAGCCCGGCTCAGTTTTATGCTTCTAAGTGGTGCTGTCAGCCCTGTAACGGTGACTCATGTAGCCACCACTGTTGCTAAGCCACTCAGGAAGTACAGGATGGAATATGCTACCAAGTACAACAAGGACCCGGAAGACGGGCACCTCTTCAACTTACATTCAGCAAGCCTACCAGCACATGCTGGAAGTATATCCTCCTTTCTTGTTTTTTATTTTCGCTAGCTGTTGGTGTTAACCACCCACCTATAGTTTCTCACTTGGCCTGGATTTTGGGCAAGTTCTTTATGCTTATGAATATTACACGCGAAAACCCAGGAACAGGAGTTGAGGATCTCATTGGCTTGATGGGCACAACTGTGTGCTCTGCTTTCCAGCATCATGGTTAAGTTAAAACTGGCTTGCCTGGTGGGCCCAAATGCCACCACCATTACAGAATTATAGGGGTTTAAAAGCTCTCATTCATTTTGACTGATTTACCTTCATTTCTGGTTACGTTTTTTTAAAAAAATACAATAAAAATGTATCTGGCCTAAGTCTCATACATTATAAAAACTGACATTTAATCAATGTAATTCATCATACTAACAACATAAGGAAATAAAAAACAACGTGCTTCGGTGGCCAGGAATGTGCCACTGCACTCCAGTCTAGGTGACAGAGTGAGACTCCAACTAAAAAACAAACAAACAAACAAAAATCCAACAACAATGTGCTTATTTCAACAGATGCAATGCTAATTTTGAGATACTCACTTCAAGTTTTCTAATTCCTGTTTTCTTAATGGCGAAGAAGGTGGAGCTGGAATGAATTTGTCTCCATCGTGGCTTTTACTGCTAAAATAGAGTAAGACTCTTAATTATAAAAAGCAACAACTAGACAATTAAAGGTAAAATTTGTTTCCCTGTTCCTACTCCCATGCTATGACAAAGTGGGACAGGGTCAAAGCAATGAAAATGCTTAGTAATTTGGTAACACCAACATGTCAAAGCTGGATTATATATTAGTTTCTTCTCTCCAATAAGCAAAATTGCCTTTAGAATTCTCTTACTGAAAACAATTATCTTTACTATATAAAGGAAATCACTTAAATATTTTCATACATTTCTCATTCTTCTAATTGCTTTTTTTCCTTTTTTAGAGATGAGGTCTCACTGTGTTGCTCAGGCTGGAGTGCCGTGGCTATTCACAGGTGTTACCAGGGCACACTACAGCCTCAGACTCCTGGGCTCAAGCAATCCTCCTGCCTCAACTTTCCCAGTAGCTGGGACTACACAGAAGGGCCTCATTGCATCTGGCTTTTCTGACTGCTTTTTATCAACTACAATAAAACAAAAATTCTTAACAGGAGGGGAAAAAAAAGCTACAATTTTGTTTCAAATTTTCTATGTTAAACATGTATTTCTACTATAATCAAGAAAAAGAGCCAGGTTCGGTTGCTCAGCCTGTAATCCCACGCCTTTGGGAGGCTGAGGTGAGTGGACTGCTTGAGCTCACGGGTTCGAGACCCGCCTAGGCAACTTGGGGAGCGTGGTAGCGCATGCCTGTAACTCCAGCTGCTCGGAAGGCCAAGGCAGAAGGTGGTAGCGCATGCCTGTAATTCCAGCTACTCGGAAGGCTGAGGCGGAAGGATTGCCGGAGCCCAGCAGGTCGAGGCTGCGGTGGCCAG